TGTGTGAAATGATTCATTTTAGTTTTGGAACTTTCTCATCTCCAGAGAGTAGGATTAGCTGTTTCTGTCTAACTCTGTGACAGTTATGAGTATTCTTTGGCGTCTAGGAAGCAAAATGATAAGTTCAGAGATATTTTTTCTTGGTTTTTGTTTTTTGGGGCCACACCTGGCTATGCTCAGAGCTCACTCTCTGCTCTGCATTCAGGGGTCACTCCTGGAATGTAAGGTAAAAAGGTAAAGTCCCTCCCGTTGTTCATCGATTTGCTCGAGCGGGCCCAGTAACGTCTCCATTGGAGACTTTGTTGTTACTGTGTTTGGCATATCGAATACGTCACGGGGAGCTTGCCAGGTTCTGCCATGCTCGCGAGATACTCATGGTAGCTTGCTGGGCTCTCCGAGAGGGGTGGAGGAATCGAACTCGGGTCGGCCATGTTGGCTCCATGCAAGGCAAACGCCCTACCGCTGTGCTATCTGCGAAATCTGATACTCCTGGAATGTATAGGGGACAATATAGGGTGGTGGGGATCAAATTCAGGCTGGCCACATGCAAGACAAGCACCTTACCCATTGTACTATCTCTCTGCCCCCAAGTTTGGAGATTTATTATGACTGAATTGACATTAAACTTTCAAGAATTTAGATGTCAGTTGAGAATTCAGTTCCTCCCTCTCTCTCTCTCTCTCTCTCTCTCTCTCTCTCTCTCTCTCTCTCTCGTGAGATGAGGAAAGATACTAACTTCATTGATGTCTCAAAGTATTACTGCTGCTGAATGGAAGCATCACCCCAATGACAGAGAAACCCTTTCTCTCCTTTTGGCCAGGCTGCAGCTTCCATGGGTACTCAGAAGCACCCCAACCCCTCTCCCCAACAAGCTATATGCCTGCTCTTCAGAACAGTTTCCACATTAGATAACCACATGCGTCATCTCACAGTATCCTGAAGCTTGAACAAAAAATGGACAGGCTCTGTAGAGACCTCAGGAATCTTAACATTTCTACCTCCTCTCCAGGAAGCAAAGCAATGGTTCTTCAAATTCCAATAAATGGGTACAAGATGCAAGGAATGAGCAAACTTGTGAAAATTTTTTGTTTTTCCACCTTCATCGTAAACATGACTTTCCACTCTTTGAATCCTTTCTCCCTTTTCTTTCCCCCTCGCTGATCCTTTCTGATTCACAGATGACCATGGCTGTAATCCTTAGGCTAAAGGGGCCACCTTTCCAAGGACATTTATATTACAAAAGGAGAGCCTTATGGGGCCAGAGTGATAGTACAGCCAATAAGGCATTTGCTTTGCATGTGGTCGACCCAGGTTCGATTCTCAGCATCCCCTGAACACTGCTAGGAGTAATTCCTGAGTTCAGGGCCAGGAGCAATGCCTGAGTATTGCTGGATGTGACCCTCCCCACCCCCCAAAAGGAAAGCCTTAAAGTGGGGGAGGCATATAACAGCTTAACAAACCATTAGTGAAATCTCTGCTAGTCCCTGGAAGCAAAGGTCACTTTATTTCACCAAAACGTTAGGAAGAATCAACTGCTCCTGTAGGCTTTAGTATTTTCTAGTTCTCTTTTCTGCTGGCTTGTCTTTGGCATGCTTCTTATCTTGAACACTTTTAATAGAGTCAAACTAGACCAGGGCAGGCAGAAGAAAGAATATGCACACATTTGGCAAGAGCTGATCAGGATTAGCTTAAAATCCTGCTGTGTGCAAGAAGCTGACTTGTCATTCAGTTTGGAATATATGATATTAACTGCAGGTTAGACTCAACATAATAGGATGATTCAAAGTATGTGATGATGATTTGTTGTATCGAAACTATTTTTTAATGTAATCTCCTAGGAAATAGAAATACAAAACTAAAAAAGACTCTTCCCAGCGTGGCTGATAGGAACGACTTGCAAAGAGGAGTCATGTTCACAAATCTGTGTCATCAATGTGTCACTATGTGGGGAGTGGAGAAAAGGATCAGGCAGAGATGAGTGATAATTTTTCAGTTTTCATGAGGCTAGAGTGATCACCTTGTTTTTGTCAAGCTACACTGCATTTGAGCAAATAAAAGATACTGACTTCACCATACCACCATACCTAGTGTCAGTGGCTTGTGGATACTTACAATATGGGCACTGCTTCTTCAGGAAACTTCTTACCTCCCCCAGATTTAAGTTGTTCAGATGCCCATAATAGTTGATGAGCTGGCTTTAATTTATTCATAAACACCACTGTCTCCCTGAAACAAAGGAACAAAAAGTCGTGAATTTACAGAAGGAAGCTTCATTAAGATTAAAACATGGAGATAGCCTTCATCTTAAGAACATAGACTTAGGAAAAGGGATGTGCAGAATTTGGGCAGACCAGGCATAAGAGATATAAGAAATAGACTTCAAGTCTATTGCACATGCAAGAACAGCTATGGTTGAGAGGCCAAGAGAGGCGCTTGTATATGCCTTATCTACACGCCCTTGCTTTTGACCACCTAGTTTTCTAACTGGAAGAGAGAAGTTTGAAGGCTAGAATAGATGGACAGAAATGACTTATAGATGGACTGTAAAAGAAGATGTCATGGGGAAATCTTGTTTTTTTTTTTTTTTTTAACTTTTGGGCAAAGTAAGGGGAGTGGTATGATTTGCTATTTCAAGCCTGAAATTATCCAGGTGATTCTCAGGGTGAGTTTCTACAGTGATGTTGTCCGACTCATCTAACAGACTAAATTTGACTGACTGCTTGATGAACAAGTCCTCAGAAATTTTACTCTGGATTCTACCAAAGCCAAGACTCATCACACAGATCTTGGTAGTTTAGATTGGAGAAAAGAGGAAGGTTGTGGTCTGTGTATTCATGAGGACATCCATGAGAAGCTTGGGCTTGGGATGTCTCTTGGATGGCAAAGTCCACACATATTTTCCTATATCCCTTGACTTTAATTAAAAACCTTATTTGGGTGTATCCTATAGAGTTTGATGAGTTCTTTTAAATATGTGAACTTGGGGAATCTTTGAGGTTAGACATGTTTGTGCATATATATATATATCCATATATAATATTTTTACTTATTATAAATATGCTGATAAACAAGGATAAAAATGAATGCATTTCAACTAGGTAAGACAGAAAAGAACAAAAGCCTTAGAAATAAGTTTTAATAAAATTAGGTATTGTTCGTTATTTGTTGGAAACCAACAAACCATTCACACAAATATTAAGAGTGGGGGAAAAAAACAAACCACAGGAAATTAAAAGTATTTAGAATTATCATAAATTTTTATGCAAATAAATTGGAATATTTGCTCTGAATGATTAATTTTTCTAGTGGAAAAAAATCAAGATGAATCAAGAAGGGAATACAGAGAATGTTATGAGAGGATACTGTGAGACTATGTTGTGAGGGGAACAATGCACTGCTTAGAAAGGTGACAAGTCTCAGCAGTTTTATTGGTGAGTTTTTTTTAAACATCAGAGCACACTTAAAGCTTATATTTCATTTTTTTTTTCTAGGGCACGCAGGCCAGTGGGAGTCGCCAGCTTGAGCCATACCATATCTGTATGGGACTGTTAGGGACCTGAGTTGATAAACCACAGCAGGATTAAGTGCATTACTAGTAATGTCAGCAGATTTCCATTGTAACGGCAGAGATGGGATGGTTTTTAAAGCACAAAATAGTAAGTGAGGGCAGAAACTCTGTAAGTTGGTAAGAGCCTCTATTATCGAGGCAAAACATGATCTAAATTAATACTTGAAAATGTGTTGGTTGAATGGTTTTATAATTTATAAACTTGCTTTGGTTTTCATATTTAAATTTAGAACAGAAGTTTCTATTTCATGGTTTGTAGGTATTTAAGAGCAAAGCAAAAAAAAAATGTAACACAAATTCGTGAAAATTTTTTTCCTTTGGACGACTACTCAGTATACAACTTCAGAAAGTAGGGAACCACTGTTGCCTTTGAATTGGACTTTCTCTACCTCCTTCTCTACACTGGAATGAAAGTGTTAATGAAATAATTCAGTACATAAATTGGGATAAGTGTCAAGAAGGACCTGGGTTATGTTTGGTCAGGCCTTGTGCAGAAGACTAAAAGAGTTCCGTCAGTGTTCATGGTTTAGTCTCACTCACAAACAGGGACTCCACATGTGAAGTCGGAGGGTAGAAGACCTCGTTATAAACAAAGTTACTCTGCACTTAGATCTTGGAAACTCATGGTAGCAGGATGCAGCTGGCCAACAATTTGGAATCTTGGGCCTAAGTGATCTTTCTATAGCAAACAGCCACATCCTCCTGCTGCTTCTGATGGGCAGATGAGGTTTGGTTCTGGTACAAATAACAGAGCTGAAACCAGGTCACTGCAGGCTTTACTTGTGGTCCAACCAAAAGGTTATTCAGAAACAGAGTCTGTGCATTAGTTGTGGGTTCTATCTGCTTAGAAAAGAATCTAAAAATAAGAAGGGACATAAGAAACAACTTAAACTTCTATAAAATATTGATGCTCACAAAATCGTTCGTTAGCCACATCTGAATTTCACATTTTGGTTTCAGCTATTCATCTGTTTCTGTCACGATTAACACAAGTGAACCGTACAATGGGCAACAGATACTTTAGGAAAGGAGGGTAAAAGATATGTGGCTGTAAATAAGAATATAAATAGCAAGTGAAATTTGCTATTTAATAAATTCTGTAGGCTACACACTTGCAAGTGATACTGTTGTAATCGTATCTGTCTCAAAAGATTTTTTTATACTCTGTATTTTCTAAAATGAAGTCCTTTTATACTTGATTTCCCTGATTGTTAAAATTGCTATAATGATGTAACACCTTTCTGTTTCACAACACATTGATAGAAATGACTGTAAGTGGAAGAGTTTTGCTATTTTCATAATTTAAGGCCTACTGAAAGAGAAAGTTTTAAAAACTGTCTGGCAGATTTTGAAATGAAAAGTATTTGCATCCCTTCTCACACAAGAGTGATTCAGAAACAAGATATAGGTTTAATCATCATTTTATTTATAATTTTTACCAAATCTTACCAGTCACAATATTCTGGATATTACAGATATATTACATAAATACTATCAGCTTACGTGGATCTGATAAAAATTAAAGAAAAGGAGAAATGTACTGACTGCATGAGAACGACACCTTAAAGCTCACATTTACAGAGTTCTGATCTGTAAACACAGGTGAAAGCCAGCTCTGACCCTCTTTTCTCATTTTGCAAATTATCACCACACTTTTCTATTCATAGTCAACTGGTTGGCTACCAGCAAAAAGGGCCTGAAAAGTACCAACATGATACACATGGTCATCTTATGAGGGGTGGAGTGGAGGGAGGGAAACCGGGGACATTGGTGGTAGGAAACGTACACTGGTGAGAGGATGGTGTTAGAAACCCATTCATGAACAATGTTGTAACTCATGGTGATCCAATGAATTATATACCAAACAACTGGTATGTGACATATTACTATAAAGTGCTTTACTTATTACTGGCCTTCTGTATACAGAATACTATTTCGTGAAAGTCATTTGTGCCCCAGTTGACCCTTCAGAAGAAAATCAGGCATTTGTCTTGCTGACAGTCTGGTATAGTTCTGAAGTCAGTGTCCAGATAGGACGAAATATATGTAACGATCATCAATAAAATGAAATGGCTCTATTCACTTTTCAAAATATAATAACTAAGACTAATGAGGTCAAATTGAAGAGGAAAAAGTCCCCCTATGGCTTAAGAGATTTGAAAATACAAGTAACAGCCAGGCAATACAGGGGTTAAGGCAATGGCTTTGCATGTAGCCAACCCCGGCTCAATTCCCAGCACCACAAATGATCCCCTAAGCACTGCCAGGAGTAAGCTCTGACCACTGCTGGTTGTGGTTTACTAGTCCAAATAATGAAAATTGAAAAAATAAAGTGTTAACTGGGTTGATTTAGAACCAATTTTCACCAACAATGAAATTTATTTGTGTGAAAAAATATCAAAAGGTAATTTTATAAATCAAGTTCCCTATGAATACCAAAAATTAAGATTCCAAGAATTTGCTTATGAAAAATGTTTTTGCAAAAAATTTTAGCAGATTATTTTACAAAACCTCAAATCAATATTATAAAGCAGATTATTCACACCTATCAACTAAATATTTTAGAGTTTTATTATGTTTTAATCATAAATTGAGTTTTTTTTTCTCTTTTTGGGTCACACCCGGCAATGCTCAGGGGTTACTCCTAGTTCATGCACTCGGAATTACTTCTGGCGGTGCTCGGAGGACCATATGGGATGCTGGGAATCAAACCCGGGTCGACCACAAGCAAGGCAAATGCCCTACCCACTGTGCTATCACTCCAGCCCTCATAAATTGAGCACATTTAGAGCCTTAAAATTCAAGGGGCAAATGGTATGACATTTACAAAGGTAAAAAAGGGAACATTTTAGCATGCAGAGCAAAAGCACATAAGCATGAATACTGGCAAACTGCTATTTGTATCTTGTAGGGTACGTGACTATTTCAAGCTTCATGGTAGAAAACAAATAACTTGCAAGCATATCCTGTCCATGCATCGAATAACAATTTATGAAAGCAATCTCCATACTATTAGTTCCTACTGTCAGAGTCTTAAGAACTTTTTAGTCATTAGGTACTCTAAGTCCTGAATGAAGCATTAGGGAGGAGTTAGCCATAAACAGAGAATATCATGCATCAGGAATGTTCTTGGTTTAACAGAATGAAAAGTTAAACATTCTACATGCTGAAAATATGAAGATAAGGTTTGTGAGAACTGCCAACTATTTGGTACCAATTAGAAAGCATCTTCATCTGACTCAATATCACTCTTGGATTTGGTAAGTCTTTCCAGTTCCTCTCCATCCTAGAAGGAAACATGAAATCACTGATGAACTAAAGGAAAACTAAATGTAACATTTTGAATAACTAGGGAGAAAATTCAAAAATCACAATTTACTTATTAAACTATAAACTTAATGTGTTTAACCGATCCTTTGAGAGTTAATTTTTTATATATGAGATAATGAAAAATTGAAGCACCTCAGTAACTGATTTTCAAAGCAACATGAGCAAAGTAAAGAGCACCCCCTGCTGGTCTAAACGGGTACTTTAATCTTTATTTTTTTAAAACTAAGATTTTTAATCGAAACTGATTAAGCTAGGTATAAACTGTTTTATATATATATATACATATATATATGCATATATATATATATTAGTATAAACTAGGTATAAAGTAGGTCTTTTAATCTAAACTAATTTTTTTCTAAACCTACAATGTGGGGCAAGTATTGTAAGATAACTGAAAAAGAACATAAGATGCCTGAATCTAGACCCTAAAGTTAGGACACCAGGGACCCACGTTTCTAGTATTTTTCATCTTAATCTACTATATTATCACGTCAGGAGCGTTACCATTGAAGGGCCTTCAGCCAAGAACCACTAATATGTGATAAAGGTAAAGGTAAAGGCCCTCCCGTTGATCGTCGATTTGCTCAAGCGGGCCCAGTAACGTCTCCATTGGAGACTTTGTTGTTACTGTGTCTGGCATATCGAATACTCTCGGTAGCTTGCCGGGCTCTCCGAGAGGGGCGGAGGAATCGAACTCGGGTCGGCCATGTTGGCCGCTTGTAAGGAGAACGCCCTACCGGCTGTGCTATCGCTCCAGCGATAGATGTGATAGATTTCATAATACATTAAATGGAATAAGCAATAATTTTCTTTCTTTTTTCATATATATGTATTTTATTTATTTGTTGAATCACAGTGAGAACAGTAACGAAGCCTTTCAGTTCAAGTCTCGGTTGGTCATACAATGATCAAACACCTGTCCCTTCACCAGTGCACATTTTCCACCACCAAGAACACCAGTACACCCACCCTCCCACCCACCCACCCACCCCCACCTGTGTGGCAGATTTCCTCTTTACTCTCTCTCTCTACTTTGATCACATTCAATATTAAGACAAAAGACCCACCATTGTTATTTCGAATTTTCCCCAACATTCAGACCTGCCACAAAGACATCATTAGAAAATTTGCTTTCTAATGTTGATTATGAAGTGCATATGATGTTGTGTGGCCACAATAGCGGCCACGCGAATTTGGAATGCTAATATTTTAGTAATAAACCTAGAGGGATTACTGCCAGAAGCCCCTGGGTTCCGAGATTGGTATGTGTGCCTCTGGGTTCATGGTCGGTCAGAAGCCGGAGGAGGCATTTGAGGGTGGCAACCCGGAGCATTGTCATGGCGGGGAGCAGGGAATGAGCAATAATTTTCCCAGTAAAAGATTCATCGGGTGAAATATTTGGTGTGGTCAATAAAACAATAAACTTAAATTTTATATATGAGTCTCTTTCATCTTTCATTTAAATATACAGCTAAATCATTACTCGAAAGAATCTCTAAAAGATCATTCATTATTGATTTGGTAATAACATGATAAGCAACCCCTTCTAAAATGATTAGAAAAAAACAATAGAACAAAGGCTTAAATATTTCATAGAATTTTTTTAACTTGCATAACTTCTTTTGGAAATGTTCTTAAACAAAATCCTCCTGTCAACTGTTTGTATACAGAGAAAGGATTCATGGTACTTATTTTTTAGTAGGAATTACTTACGTAGAAGATCTGCTTTTCTTAGGAATATGAGATTTATTTCCCCAACCATGGTGGAGTATACAAGGAAACAGATTAAGTACCAGATATCAAGGGTGCAGTATGAATTCTTTCTTACCTCTCTTGAATATAGATAGCCTCTCTGTATCTTTATTCTTAAATTAAGGAGACTCGTATCTATCCCTGGCATATATATGGAGTCTAAGGACTATTCACTGAATGATTTTTCAAGTCAAAGAGCTACAGCCTTTAATAAATTAGGATTTACTTGTCCTTTAGAGGAAAATAGGCAAAAAGCAGTATCTTCATAAACTTACCCCACTGGAGCGTTCCCAAAGACGGTCACTTAAATCTCGAATCCTCTCTTGCTTAGGTGCATATTCCAAATCTTGAATCTTGCTGGCATTATAAATAAATATGGAAAGAAGAACTGATGGGGCTTCTAAGAAAAAATCCAGGGAGGGTCTGAAATCAAAGACTAGAACAGACACTGTGGTGATGATGACAGTGGTAATCTGGGCCATCAACACATGGAACATATTATCCAGAAACTTTAGAATGAAAGCCACCGAGAGGCCCTGGAATGCAGTTACAAATATAAGGGCTACTGAAAACGCATTGTGGCCGTAAAAGAATCCGCAGTTCTTAATCTGATCCCGGTTACTGCTCTGAAGGCCCAGAGTCAGCCCATTAAAAAGAACGCCGAAGAAATAGAGTTTGCTGTTCTGTATGAAGATGCTTTCACTGAGCTGGCTCCCTTCCTTCAGTATCTTCTCACTATAGATGTTGGCCATTGAAGAAATAAAACACTGAACAATAATAAGAACATGGCCCAGACCAAGGCGAATGTGACTGAAAACCCTGGCTGTGGAGTTCCACCTAGCTTCAGAGAAAGTCCACTCCTTTGCTGTGCAATTGTCTTTGCTGGGACACTCACTCTGGTAAATAAGGCAGGAATTGGAGGGGCTGAATAAGGCATCGTGGTGAAATCCATGTCCTGCCAGGTTATGCTGTGAAGTTTTAGTCCCAGTAGTGAGGGCCACAATAGATAAAAACAGAACCAGGAGGGAAGCCCACTGTATCCAGGTCAGATGCCTCCTGTGGAAAGATGAAAAGCAACATTTTAATGCTGTTTCCTCCCAACGCCACTACTTTATTATGCTACACAGAAAGCTTAAGACGCAGGTGAGTATTTGTTGAGTAAGGGTTACCGTCGTGATTCGTGAAGGTTAACTACCTTAAGCCCTTTCTGTCATCTTCTTCATTGTAGACTGATTTACTTTTCAATTTTAGGCACTTTGATGTACAATAATACTGTTACCAGTAGGATTTCATGCTTAAGATGTCCCAGTGCCACACATTCCACCAGTGTCTGCTGCTTTTTTCCACTGTCCCAGCATCCTACGCCTCCACTCTACCTCCTGAGTTGATAACCTTTTTTTTTCTGTTTGGTCACACCCAGTGATACACAGGGGTTACTCCTGGATCTGCACTCAGGAATTACTCCTGGCGGTACTTGGGGGATCATATGGGATGCTGGGAATCGAACACGGGTCTGCTGCATGCAAGGCAAATGCTCTACCCACTATTGCTATCGCTCCAGCCCCTGTTGATAAATTCTATCCTGCTCCAAAATAAGTTTATGCAGGGACTCCCAGGCTTAATTTGAGGAACTAGAAATAATGTGATGAGCTTCAGAATTCTACAGATATTCGAAGCACTCACCAGATTATCTACATAGGAGATTTCCTGACTCTCCCCACATTCCCCAGAACCTTAAAGTATCCCCAACTCTTCAAATGCATACACAATGAAAAAAAATATTTACAGAGGAAGCTAACTCCCAGATCAGTGGCCTTATTATCATAAAGTTTTATACAGTTAACATTTAGAAGGCAAGGCAAAAACACAGTGAGTATTTCAGCTAATATAGTCCTCAAAGTGCTTTAAGTATTTAGTCTGCCCAGCAGAAAGCTTATGAAATACAGCCATTATGCCTTATCATTCTTTTTGCAGATTCATTTAGTTTCACAGACATTTCACTAAACAGCAACTATATATGAAACACCCTGGGTAGGTAAAGATGACCTGATCTCCATCCTAAGGATCATTCTTTAATAGAGAAAAAGTCATGAATCTAAATGATGATGACAGAATATGTGACGAATGACACATGAAACAAGTGGGATTCCCTGAAAAGAAAAGAACACTTATCTCTAAAAGGAATCAGCAATGCTTTAATGAGGAAATGACATCTGAGCGGAAAGATAAAAAATCAAATTGAAATTTAAGATGTGAAAAGATTATTAATGATATACCCAGGCAATAAAAAATGTACCAGGATGACTAAGGAAAGAAGGTGGCGATCACTGGAGAGAATAAAACCTTTAAGTTATATCAGCCACATGAAGAGGGACACCAAGAAAAGAGAATAACATAAGTATAGACAGAGTGTAAAGCAGCAGATGAGAACCAGAAGTTTTAAGAATTTTTGCGTCATTATATTTATTGAGCACATACCATGCTTAAGGAAAATGCTGTTTTTTTTTTTTTTTTTTTTATTGAATCACTGTGAGGCAAATCCTATTTTAAATGATGAACCTGTTTAGAACTACGGCTCTTGAGGTTAAGTGGGCATGTATTTATGAAATTTCAGAAAGAGATTTTCTATTTTTTTTTTTTTTTGGTCTATGTTGTTTTGGGGCCACACCTATGTGTGCTCAGGGCTTACTCCTAGCTCTGCACTGAGCATCTCTCCTGGTGTGGCTCAGGGGACCAGATGAGGTGCCAGGAATCAAACCTGGATTAGCCATGTGCAAGGTAAGCACCCTACCCACTGCACTATCTCTCCAGTCATTGAGCTATGGTTTTGTATGTCTTCCTCTAGACCCACACTCCTAAGATATAATTCAGTTATATGTACATGTATATGTGCATATATATACACATATATAAAACACATGTGCATAAATCAGATACACATACGTGTGTCTTATGCATGTATATTTAATTTCATCAATGCTTTACAGAACTTCATGTATTGAAACTGTCAAAATGCACTAGATAGCAGTATGTTATTAAGTATTCCTGTGTGTATGCTTTCAAATAACCAGATCTGATACTAGTCTATGCTAGGATATGAATCATGTAAAATTCTGAAGGCACAGATGGTACATATGAAGTGACATAAAACAAATTAAATGGAAACATGAAAGAAACGAAAAAAGGGCATCCTATTTTATTAAGAATTAGACTCAACTGGTAGATTTTTTTTTTCTCTTTTTGGGTCACACCCGGCTTTGCACAGGGGTTACTTCTGGCTCATGCACTCAGGAATTACTCTTGGCGGTGCTCAGGGGACCATAAGGGATGCTGGGAATCGAACCCAGGTCTGCCGCGTGCAAGGCAAACGTCCTTCCCGCTGTGCTATCACTCCAGCCCCTGAACTGGTAGATTTTCAGCAAAGAAAATAATGCTTAATGAATTTACCCTGAAGATCTACGTTCTTTCAAATGATGCCTTATAAGGACCCGAGAAGTACAGAAGTTAAGGGGCTTGCCTTGCATACTGCTGACCTAGGTTCAGATCCCCAGTACCACAAATGATTCCTTGAAGTACTTGCAAGAGTGACCTAAGTATAGAGCCAGGAGCAAACCCTGAGCGTTGCTGGGTGTGGCAACCCCACAAAAAAACAAAAATCAAAATGATGACTTATAAAACAAGACGAGTTTGTTCCTCAGTTTAGTCAATACAGCATTAGCTGAGGTAACCGCTCTCTACTGTCCCAATAAAACTAATGCTCTGCTCTGAAGGCTGAGGGTCTTGGCTTCAAATGAACTGCTTGCGGTCACTGCACTTTTGCATGTTCTCGCCAGGTGACCTCGTTATGTGATGATAGATTTTAATTTCATTTTCATTTCATTTCATCATCCTGTTAATCGTCGATTGCCTCGAGCAGGCCCCAGTAACGTCTCTTTAATCCTAGCCCTGAGATTATATTCAGGGCTCTTTAGGAGAATGAGACCCATCATTGTTACTGGTATTTGGCATATTTGGTAGGCCACGGGGAGTTTGCCAGACTCTGCCCTGTGGGCAGGCTACATTCGACAGCCTGCAAGTTTGTCCAAAGTAGGAATGAGATAATAAGATGTCGCGCGGCCGCGAATGCGGCCGGGCGGTTCCGGGATCTGGATTTTATAGTCTCTGAGTCTTGGCCGCTGATGGGATTACACGGCGCCAGGGGGCCAGGTGGTGGGTGTGACCCCCGCCTACTGGAATTTGGAGGATCTGGGTGGAAGATGCTCGACTCCAATTCGAGTAGGGTTGGAGGTCTCGGCCCCGGAACCCGCGTGGCTTTGTCCCTCTGCCAGTACCTTCAGGTGTGCGGAGAGTGGTCTCAGCATGGTGGTGGCTGGTCCTGGAGGTCTCCGGCTGCCGTAGCCCTGGCCGGGGCGGGGAGGAAAGCTCAACCCGCTCCCCTCCAAGGGACTCCCGGGAAGGAACACCGAGGCGCGGGGGCAGAGACTGCACTGCTCTCGTCCGGGATCTGGATTTTATAGTCTCTGAGTCTTGGCCGCTGATGGGATTACACGGCGCCAGGGGGCCAGGTGGTGGGTGTGACCCCCGCCTACTGGAATTTGGAGGATCTGGGTGGAAGATGCTCGACTCCAATTCGAGTAGGCTTGGAGGTCTCGGCCCCGGAACCCGCGTGGCTTTGTCCCTCTGCCAGTACCTTCAGGTGTGCGGAGAGTGGTCTCAGCATGGTGGTGGCTGGTCCTGGAGGTCTCCGGCTGCCGTAGCCCTGGCCGGGGCGGGGAGGAAAGCTCAACCCGCTCCCCTCCAAGGGACTCCGGGAAGGAACACCGAGGCGCGGGGGCAGAGACTTTATTTTAATGATTACATAAAATGATAAGCTATGAGTAAAATGAAAGTGTTGCTATCTTTATGGAAACAAAGATAAATGTTTGGAAACTTAAAGGAAAATCACTCACAAGATCAAAAGTGCTTGGGCTGGAAAAAGTACAGAAGGCAGGCCCCTGCGCTTGCCAGGAACGATCTCTAAGCGCAGAGCCAGGAGTAAGCCCTGAGCACTGCTGAGTAGCCACAGAATAAGATAAAAACTATCTTCAAAATAGGTACAGTGAGTTAATTTAATGATTAGGGAATGAATAAGATGAATTTCTAGGGGCTGCCCACCATCCCTGAGCCCCTTCCTGTTTGTCCCCAATGCTGCTCCCAGTTTTCATCCTCTCCCAGGTCAGTGAACACTTGAACCCGGGACTCCACCTCCCCAGCGCACACGCTCCAGGCGTCCTCTGGGACCCTGGGCCGCCCATCATCCCTGAGCCCCTTCCTGTTCGTCCCCAATGCTGCAACTGGTTTTCATCCTCTCCCAGGTCAGTGAACACTTGAACCCAGGACTCCGTCTCCCCTGCGCACACACCTCAGGCGTCCTCTGGGACCCTGGGCCGCCCACCATCCCTGAGGCCCTCCTGTTCATCCACAACGCTGCGCCTCGTTTTCATCCTCTCCCAGGTCTGTACCCCCCACACTCACCAGGTACCCACAGTGGGCGGGGCCTCTACAGAAGTGGGCATGGCCTATTTTTGGGCCTGCAGACTCTCACCTGGACGCAGGTAAATTATCCAGACCCAGCAATCTCGTTTAACATCTCAGTCTCCATACAACCACCACAACATGAAGAAACAACGCAAATACCCAGGACGAGGAGAGGACAATGAAAAGAGTCCAGAAGCTTCAACAGGTATTACCCACATAAGGGAACTCTATGATAAAGAATTCAGATATGAAGTAATGAAGCTGTTCAATGAACTCAAAGAAACAGTGACACAGATATCCAGTAAATTAAAGGAGGACATGAAAGAAACAATCGAGAAAATACAGGAAAAAATGAGAGCAGAAATTGGAAATCTACACACAGAAATGTCACGAACAAAGGATTCGGTAGATGAAATAAAAAACTCAGAGTGTGTCCTCAACAACAGAATGGTTATAGCTGAAGACAGAATCAATGAGCTGGAAGATGAGCTGCAGAAAGCCTACAGACAACAACAAAGGCAAGAGACCTCAAAATAGCT